TTTTTCATCTAGATACTTACCGGACTATATATTCCATATAACGAAATCGGAGATGTAGGACCACAATATTTGGCCGAGGCATTACGAAACAACACGGTAATTGTCAATCTCTCTTCGCTTATACCTTATCTTCACTTGCATTTTTTGATCCAGACACTTACCACACTAGATCTCGAGGGGAATCAAATCGGAGATTCCGGAGTACAACATTTAGCTGATGGATTACAACACAACACAGTAATTCTCATCCTCTCTCCAACTATATCATGTCTTTAATTGAACTTTTTCATCTAGGTACTCACCACACTAAATCTCCAATATAATCAAATCGGCGATGTTGGAGTACAACATTTAGCAGATGGATTACAACAGAACACAGTAATTCTGATCATCTCTTCAACTATATCGTATCTTTAATTGCACTTTTTCATCTAGGCACTTAGCACATTAGAACTCCAGCACAATCAAATCGGAAATGTTGGAGCACAATATTTGGCGGATGTACTACAACACAACTCAGTAATTATCATCCTCTCTTCACCTATATCGTATCTTTACCTCCACTTTTTCTTCTAGTCACTCACTACACTAGATCTCGAATCTAATCAAATCGGACTGGCTGGAAGACAATATTTGATTGAGACATTGCGACATCACAGGGTAATTGTCATTCTCTCGTCACCTATATCATATCTTTACTTCCACTTTTTCATCTAGACACTCACCGCACTATATCTCTGTGGGAATGAAATTGGAGAAGATGCTAGAAGTTAAATTATTCAAATTTCTTGAACGCAATACAAATGGAGGAAAATCGTAAATGCTAGTATTAAATATATTCCTACGCTGAACATATAACGAGTGATGATGATGATGCGTATATTTTTCTTCTATTGTCATTGTTGCAAAAAGAATCAATAAAATTACTACTTTTAAAACTTAATGAATATTAAGATAATAGTTGTGGTTTAGCATTATTGTTATTTGATAGTGTGAGTGATGTTGGTCTGAAATCATAAAAGAACTTTTCCATAGTATTTTGTTAATTTGCTGTTAATAAGCATTGTCAATTACAAATGTCTTTCTTATTACGCGTATATAATATTATATTTTCTATATATTACAAATATCACTACAGAACCAAACGTGGATATTATTTTAGTGCGAATAAATAAATTGTTTTTTCTCTAGATTCAAACTAGTCTGAGGATAGTGCCGATAATAAACAATCCTAATATTACAATCACTATATTTTTATGAAATAAATATAACATGTCAAAGTGATCGATAATAAGAGACCGGAGCGAGAATGAGTATTCAAGACTACCACATCTCTGTAATAAACAACATAGATTAAATTACTATTTTTTTTTTCATTTTAAATCAGATTATACTACCCATTTCAAAATAAAAGGCAAGTGAATATCGTTTGAATAACTTTCAATAGGAACAATATGAGTAGCTGCAATTTTCACCGTTGAAAAGTGATGAGTTTCGATGTGACTTTAGCGTCTTTTTTCAATAGTAAAACTTCAGTTCTTCATATAGACTCTGTCAAAAGTAATTCAAAAATACTCACTCACCTCTTATTTTGAAACGGGCAGTAATTCTTCAAAATCTCCAGTATCATTTATTAAATAAAGAAAATAATATAGATATAACGATAGAAAAACATTTTTCTGCGATAGTAAAACTAGCTATACATCTGACGCCATCTATTTCAATGACATTGTTTCATATGTTAGGAAAAAAAAGTGTAAAATATATTACAAATATGAATGAATTTAAATATGAAAAATTCATTCTTTAAAGTTTTTCTCATTTCATATAAAAGGTTAATGACCTGTTCACTGGTTTTATTAGTCAACCATTGAAAAAATAATACTCGCGTATACTGTGTACTGTCCTACGCTATGTTAGCTCTTATTGACTGTCAAGAAAGTAAGCATAATACTTTGTTCAATGACTCATAAGTTCTATATGTATGTATATATAGATTTTTTTTTCTTTCTTTTATTCCAATCAATTTTGAATCTATTTATTTTTGACAGATAGGTAGAATTATTCATTTATAAAAGAAAAACATGTCATATGTAAATAGTAAGCTAATCATTGAACAAAAAATAATTTGAGTTCGTTCTATGTTTTGTTTTTTTTTTTGTTAAAATTCATCAAAACATAAATTATTGTTGTGTTGACTCATTTCTTATTTTTTTCTTATCAAGCTGGTCACATTTTATAGGATTGTCTTTTATTATTTTAATGAATATATATTCATTGTATTCATAGTGCCGTACGATTCGCTTACTTTCTATCGACTTAGTCCAATTCTTTTTTTTTTGCGTTCAAGTAACACCGAGAGTGTTGAGGGTAAAAGAAAGAAGAAAAAAAAAGGAAAGGTCATACTATTGTTAGTTATAAAGAATAATTTGACAAGTACTACGTTCATTTTCTCTCTCTCTCTCCCTCATTTTTTTACTAATGTTTTATTAAATCGATTAGTATGATTTCTAACATTTATATGTCTTTTTCATATTATGAAAAAAATATTTTTTTTGTATTGTCTTGCTCATTGAATGAGACGTTTTTTTTTATCGGTCGGTTGATAATGATTTTTTACAGCTGTTGCCGTTTGTGTGTGTGTGTGCTGTGAATGAGCGGATGTTGATAGGTAATGAAGGAAAATGGAAATTTCTATTCACTATCATTTAAATATATATATATTTAGTGGAAGATAGCTTTATGTAAAAAGACATAGGAATAAAATCGATAATAGATGATTGATTATATACTTATATATATTTTTAGAATTTTATGTGATTGTTTATCATTCCCTATTATAAAAATCTATTGTGATTATGAGTCAAGACGATATTCTTCAATCAACAAAAACAGTTATTCAAGGTCTTGAAGCTTTGAAAAATGAACATGGTAAAATGCTTGAAAATATTGTTGGATCAATGCAAACATCAACAAAAGATACAAATAAAATCGAAGAAAAAGCTGGTTTATTAAGAAAATCAATGGATATGATTGAATTAGGTATCGGTGAAGCTCAAGTTATGATGCAATTAGGTAATCATCTACAAAATCTTGAAGCCGAAAAACATAAATTACGAACACAAGTTAAACGTTTATGTCAAGAAAATGCTTGGTTAAGAGATGAATTAGCATCATCACAAAAGAAATTACATGATTGTGAACAATCCAATGCATCTTATTCAGTTGAACTTGAACATTTAAAGTTTTTAAAAGATATTAAACAATATGATTTAAACGATAATAATTCATCAACAATAAATCCATCATCTGGTCAAACAAATGATCTTGTTAATGATCTTTTTCCAACTGATGATGATGCTTATATTGATCAACAAAATGCAAATGAAAGAAATCAATCGTATGCTGATTTAATGATGACACCATCACAATCAGCTAGTGGTTCATTTATATCATCAACTGGCTATGAAATACCAGCTAGATTAAAAACACTACATAATTTAGTTATTCAATATGCATCTCAAGGTCGATATGAAGTTGCTGTACCATTATGTCGACAAGCACTTGAAGATTTAGAGAAAACATCTGGTCATCAACGTAAGATTCTATATGTCTTATAGAAATGTACGGTGTAAAAGTCTTTGAATATAGTAAAAAATCGACTAAGCCGTTCTAAATGATTTAGTGAAGTCTAGAAAGCACATTGTTTAGCTTTGATTGACATGAAGGAAGAAAGGATTACCTTTTTACTTTATTTAGATCCTGATGTTGCTACAATGTTAAATATTCTTGCACTTGTTTATCGTGATCAATCAAAATTTAAAGAAGCTGCTGCTTTACTTAACGATGCATTAGCTATTCGAGAGAAAACACTTGGACATGATCATCCAGCTGTAGCAGCAACATTAAATAATCTAGCTGTTCTTTATGGTATGTCATAGATTTATTTATTTGATTAATTACATATAAATTCTCTTTTCTTTTTTCTATAGGTAAACGAAATAAATTTAAAGAAGCTGAAGTTTTATGTAAACGTGCATTAGAAATACGTGAAAAATGTCTTGGTCCATTACATCCCGATGTTGCTAAACAACTTAATAATCTTGCATTACTTTGTCAAAATCAAGGTAAATATGATGAAGTTGAATCCTATTATAAACGTGCTATTGAAATCTATATAAAAACTCTCGGTATTGATGATCCAAATGTTGCTAAAACAAAAAATAATCTTGCATCTGCTTATCTTAAACAACAAAAATATAAAGAAGCTGAACAAATCTATAAAGATGTTTTAACACGAGCACAAGAAAAAGATTTGTTAAATAAATCTGCTATTGCTACTCAACAACAAGAAAATCCAAGTGGAACAACTGGTGGTAATTATGATGCACAAGGTGGATGGTATAAAACAATTCTAACAGATCAACCAACAGTAACAACAACATTAAAAAATCTCAGTTTATTATATCGACGTCAAGGAAAATATGAAGCTGCTGAAACCTTAGAAACTTGTGCAGCAAAAGCACGAAAAGATCCACAAGCTATTATTCAAGCACTTAACATTGTTAAACAAACTAATTTAAATACTCAACAACCATCAGCATCAACAACAACAACTACAACTACACCTTCGTGATTCTTTTTCTTTTCTTTTCTTTTTTTTAAACTCTTTTGTCAATCTGAACAGTGGAATATTTCTATTGATCGTTTAAATTTGTTTTTCACTCTATGGAATTTTTTTTCTCTTCTGAATTTTATGGATCTGCCGTTTATCTTATACACGCTATGTATATGTTTCTTCTATCCAAAGCTATGAAACGGTACAATATATAATAAACCGTAAAACAAGCTTATCAAAGCAGTAGCTTAAATAATATCAATTTGTATTTAGACATATATATATGATCATGAAATAAAAAAAAAACAATTGTCGTTTTTGCGAAATTTCTTGTTTTATCAGCTGTTAACAAATGAAGATAAATTAAAAATATATTGAAGTTTTATTTTTTTCGTTCACAAATATATCTTATAACATCTCTAATTGTATTAGATTGTGGCCATAGATTATCAAGTATTAATTCTGCTTGTTTTCTTATGTCTCGAATACGTTGTCGTGTTCCTTCAATACCTAATAAATTTATATAAGTTATTGTTTGATTTTGTTGATCAATATTTTGTAGTTTTCCAAGTTGATCACTATGTCCTTCAATATCAAGTAAATCATCTTTCATTTGAAATAAAATACCCATTAAACGACCTAATTGACGGAGTTCATCTAACGATTGTTTTTGTTCAACAAGAAGAACGGGACAAATAAGAGTAACTTCAATAGCTTTACCAGTTTTTAAATAAGCAATACGATCAAGTTCATTAATAGTTAATAATTTTTTATTTCTTGCTGATTGTAAATCAAGAAACTGTCCATAACAAAGTTCTTTCATTGATTGTGCTAATTCAGCAGTAACTCGATTTATACTTTCATATGAAAAATGTTCATTATGAAGATCAATGGTAACTAATTGAATAGCATATCCAATAAGATCAATAGCCGCTAATTGAGCTCGTCCTTCAGTTAATGATGATGGAATATCATTATAATCACTATCAATAGTCATATGAAGTGTTGGTTTTCCTCTTCTTAATGGTGCATTATCTTGTGCTGGTAGATCATCAAATATCAAACTACTTGTATGAAGATATTCAATTGCTCGAGCAAGTGGTAATATACGTTTAATATCAATATTATAAAGTTGTGCAACCATTAATAAAAGTAATGGTCGTAAACGTTTTCCACCAGCTTTTAAACTATGATTCATACCATGAATTAATGGATTATTATCATTGTTTGTATCTATTAGGAGTTGTTTTTCGATTATAGGTAAATAATCATATGCGAATGTTTCGAGTGTTCGATGATTATAAGAATAGTTCTTTGCAAATGTGTTGATATGACGAAATATTGTTTTTTCTGGATCACTGATATGATTAAATAAATATTCTAATGAAAGACAATATTTATGTAAAGCAGGATAGGATATTGAAGTAAAAATTTGAAGAAATTCTTTCAAATCACTTCCAATTGCACGTAATGTTCTCATTATTCTTCGTCCTAAAAATGCACCAGTATTATTTTCATGATTACTTTCTAAATAAAGATCTTCACAAATAAATAAAAAAACAAAAAATGGATTTAATGTTACACCATTATGTTGTGCATAATAGGTAACAGGTGTTATTGATTTTGTTTGACGATCCTCATGAAAATCTCGACAATCATCTGTCAATTGTCCTAGAAAAGGCATTAACCATAAACGTTGATCATTTGTAAGTATTTTTGCACCACTCATATAAACTGTTGCTGTATATGTAAAATGTGCTTTTAAAAGAGGACCAATAAAAATATCAATATCATTATAATCAGATCGATTTAAATCTTTTTTATCAATTCGTTGTGAACGAAGTAATAAAGCAAGATCAGTAAATGTTTGTACAGTAATGAAATTTTTTGATGTAAGCTGAATTAAACTATGAAATGTTTCAAGTAACAATGGAGTCATTGATAATTCTAGTAGTGATAATAAATTCAATTGTTCCTCACCACATAATATATCTTCCATTTTTTTAAGCCATGTATCAATATCAATTTGTTCTTGATTATCTTGAAGACCATCAACAAGTGCATAGGCAATACCATAATAGAAACCCATTTGAAGTGCTTGAAAAAATTTCTCATCAAGTTTATCTTGTTCATCATTGATAGCAAAACCATAAAGTCGTGCTATACCAACACCAATAGTCGTACGTACAAGTCGACCAAAAGCACCTTGATTAGTAAGTTCAATTGGAAATGTTTCTAATGCTATTCGCCATTTTTCTAATAACCATGTCCATTCATCAATATATTTCAATGGTAAAAGAATATCTCCTGTTGATAAATCACAATTAAATGGAGAAAAGAATGATGTTGATGAAAAGGATTCAGATGAATCAGTTTTCAATAAATAAATAAGACAAGATATAGTATTGAGAAATGCATGAATAAGAGATATAAATCGATTATTAATAGATTTTTCAGTATCTAATGAACGTCCAAAACGTAAAAGCTAAAATAAATGAATAAAAATGAATCTCTCCTTAATATAATTACCATGAAATCATCGGCTAAATTTCGAAGACTCATTAAATATGATTGTTTACTTTTAAGAATAAATATTGCTTTCGTAAGAAGATTTGATGCTTGATGAAATTCATTTAATTTTGGTCGTTTTATCATTTGTTTCATACCAAGATTAATCATTTCTTTAAATAATTGTAAATCAGGAAGTTGACGATGTTTATAATTATGAAATAGATTTGTTAAATATTCTCGTCCAATATTTTCTGCTTTTTCATATTCTTCATCTAAATGAATTTTATCTTTATTGATTAATAGAATTTGATTTTTATCAAGTTGTTTAGGTGTCAGTTTTTCAATAATACTATTTTGATACATTAATAACAATTCTTTATCAGTATCATATGTACTATTAGAGAAAATAGTCTTTGCTTTTTGTAATTGTATTTGTTTCCATTGATTGTTTATAGTTGATGATGATGATGATAAAATATCATCTGTTTTAAGAAATTGTTCAAGATTATTTTGAAATTTAGATAAATGTGCTTCGATTTTATCAAATATTTCATCAGTCCATTGAGAAAGTTTTTCAATGGATACAATATTTGAATTAGTTTGTCTAGCGTAAGATTTAAGATCACGTTTTAAACGTCGACGAATATGTGAAAGTGATGTTAAATGAAAAAGATTGACTGTTCTTTTCTTCGAATATTCTTCTAATTTAGTAAAAATAAACTTTTCAAATGTATCTCGTTCCTCAGAATCACAAGTAAAAGTTTCCTCTATTGATTCAATAGGATTGGCACGATTAAAAATACATGGTAATAAACGATGTATCGATTTGTCTATAACGAAATTTTAATTTTGTAGAATAACGATAAAGAATCAAACTTACATTCAGACTGCATGATACAATAAGTTTCAATATAACAAAATCTGTTCATGTAAATATATCATGTCATAATTTCCTACTTAAGTTGGAAAAAATGACAAATGATTACTTCTCTTTCATTCATTGCCAAGACGACTAAATTATCGCCACAGGATACTAATAGAACATGAGTAATCTTTTATTTATCGAAATCATGACTCTTTTTTTAGGTGAATTACTCATAGAAAGTTTGATTTGTTGATTATCATTCAAAGTTTATTGACAAACAGCAAGGTGTAGAAGTAAATGCACGAATGTAAAGTTTAAACGAAACACTTTCATAAATAGAAATGTGGAAGTCTGATATTTCATATGATCCTATTAGTAAATATTGATTGTAGACATGAATTGTTCTTTTAGAATAATACTAAAAAAATTATTCATAAAATTTTGTTGTATTCTTCCAATCTTTATGTACTTTCAGTGTTTGCATATTATATCCTATATGAAGATTTTTTTATAATAAGAATCCAACGTTTTTATTGCTAAAAAGAATGATACCCATCCAAACAAATGACAATAGTTTAAAAAATAAAGTTATTTTTTTAACGTTTTCCTTTTCTCTTTCCTGCTACTGATTTTCCAGGTGGTGGCATTGGTTTTGATTGAGTTGATGAAGCTCCTGTTGTCGTCGTTTTCGATGTTGGCATTGATCGTTGAGCGCCAGAAGCTGTTGTTATCGTTGTTGTAGCTGATTGATCAGATCCTACTGTACCTTGTGTACCTCTTCCTACAGCTGCTTGTTTACCACGTTTTCCTCGTTTACCACGATAATATGTACGTTCACGTAATGGTAACCAACGTTCAGGATCAGGTTTTGATGATGGATCATATTTTTTAGGTAATTGAACTTAAAAAGGAAAATAAATTCTTTTATTTTTTTAAATTAAATATAGATTTTTACTTTTGCGTTTTCGTTTCTTCTTTTGTTTAGCAGCATTTGTTGCAGCTGCAGCTGTTGGCGTGGCTTTTGAAATAACGGCTTTTGTCCTTTGAAAACAAAAAGAATATACTTTTTACAGAAATAATTTCTTTACTTTTCAGTTGTTTTTTCAGTTTTTGGTATTCGTTTACCAAATGTTGATTCAAGCATATCAGCATCGATACCTTCAGCTAATTGTTTGATTGATGGTAATTTTTGTGCTAATAGATTAGCTCGTTCCGGATCAGATTTTAAATAATGAACAATTAATTTTGATAAAATATTTGTATCATTTGGATAAAGTCTAAAGATTAAAAAAAAATATTCTTTTTCGAAATCATAAATTAATATTATACTTATGAAGAATTTCAAGCATTTCAGTAACTCGTTGTGCATTGCCTTGTTTTTCTTGATAAATTATATTTTGTTTAATTAAATATGCAAGTGCACGAGAATTTTTTCCTTTTGTTCGATCAAGATTATATAAACGATCAACAGCTTCATTAAGAACTTGTGCAGCTGATTTAGAATCTTCTAAATAATTATAAAGTGTAACTAATGTTGCTACCTAAAAAATAAAGAATTCGAATAATAGAATAAAACCAAAAGAAAGATATTTACAATGCCTGGTTTAACTAATAATTCATTATCATTTCTTAAATAATCACAAGCTTGATTTACTTTTCCTTGTGAAAGAAGAAGTTGTACATATGTTAAACGACAATAAAGTGAAACATGTTTTTGTTTATCATTTTGAATAAATTCTTGTAATACTTGAGTTGCTTCCGGTAATTTTTTTTCTTTGATTAATAATGATACTTTTGCTAATGGAATTGTATCATCAGTATCATCATTTTTCTGAACCATTTTATCAAGTATTCGTCGAGCAGTTTCATGCTATAAAAGAAAAAGGAAATTTGATTTATTTAATGCATTGAACTATTATTAATTTTGTTTTTATATTAACTTGTCCTGTATAGATAGCTAATAATGCTTCGTTAACTTGAACAATTTTCTTTTGAAAAGCATTTAATTTCGGTTCGGTTTCAGGTGCTGTAGCTGTTTTAATACGTTTTCGAGAATCAAATAAATTTTGATCACGATTTAATACTGCTAAATTATTTGATGCAACAGCAATAACAGCTAAATCTGTTGGTCTAGAAAATATAAATAAGATATAGAATTTTGAAAATATATATATGTATTAGATAGATAATACTTTGATTTGAGTACATCGTTATAAAGTGTTAATGCTTCGACATTTTTATCTTGTTGTTGAAGACAATAGGCTAATTGTACCCTAAAATATTCAGAAGAATTTAATAGTATAAGATTCAATTTAATGACATGGAGAATGGTATTTTGACATAACTACTATGATAATTAATACTCATGAGATTATACACTATCCTAATACTATTCAAAAATCTTATTTACATATTATAGTGACACTAAAAAAACATATTTAGCATTGTTTATTGTTTTATCATCGATAATAACTATTGGTGTTAAATTGAATATTTTAGTAAGATAATGCAGATTATCATATTCACTGTTTAATAGAATTATCATTAAATATAAAATAGTTCATATTGAAGTTTGCAGAAGTTTTCTATTTCTATTATAGAGACAAAAAAAATCAGTCACTCTCAATTTTAAGCTGAACATTACGATATTATCTTGAATCATCTATTAGCTAATGCATTGCATTTACTTGAACGTTCATTTAATATTCAGCACTTATCGAAGCTACTTAAAAAACTGATTGACTTCCTGTTTTTGAGAAAAAAATTTTAGTTTAATATATTTTCATAGGAAAATTTATCTTAACTTAATTATTAATTTAATAAAACAAAATTTTACCGAATATTAGCAGTTTCACGTAAGATTTCTTCTTCTGTCATATCTCCTTCTTCTTCTAATTCACGTCGACATTGAGCTAAAAAACAATTTAAATATTAAATTTCATTAAGAAATAAAATATTTCAATGATTTTTCGTACCATCAGCTTTTCGAAGTTTACTTTCAGCTTCAACATATTGACCGGAACTAAGAAGAACACATGCTGAATTATATGTTGTATCATATGTTTCATCATTTAAATCATTTGATTCCTAAAACAGAAATAAAGTTATAAAGAATTAATCAATCAATTGAATTTTACCAATTGAATTTTGCTTGAAGCATCTGTTAATTTCCAAGTTGATAAAGCAGCAATAAAATTTGCTTGACGAATTGATTGATATTCATCATCATTATTTTTAAGTAATGAACGATAAGATTCAACACATTCATTATATTTTTCTAATTTAAAAAGCTTGAAAAAAAACAATATAAAATCGTGAAAAAAACAATTCTATTATTAACTAACCACTTGAGCAAAAAGTTCTTGTTCACGTTCATCTAATTCTCTTTCCGTATTTTTTAATGTCTTATACGAATCTTCAATACGATTAAGACGATATTCACAATATGCTCGTTCAAATATTAAATCTCTAAATTTTTTTTGTTTAATTTTTATCAATAAAATTTTCAAATTATCTACCCTGTATCTACTGTATTTTTAATAACTGTAGTTAATGCTTCATCGAATTTATCAAGTTGCATTAAACAAATTATTTTACAATGTGTTGCCTTTTTTTCATTACTTGAAATACCCAATACTAAATATTCGAGGGAACAAAAATATAGTGAAAAGTATGAACATTTATTTAAATATACTTTTTTTCGTCACTTTCAAAGCTCGATCCCAATCTTGTGTTTGCCCATATTTTTGTAATTCAGCATATAATGGCCGAATTTGTTCGTCAATTTTTTCTTGTTTTTCACTCGTCATCTGAAATATCGAAATAAACAAAATGAATTTATTTATTTTCTTCTAGAATTATAAAACAAAATAAATAAAAATAAACAATTTTTATTTGTTTTTAAGAAAGTAATCCTCGATTGGCTTTTTGTGCAGCTCGATCACGACGATGATGATTTCCTTGAGCTGATTTATGTGCATCTTTATAACGTCGATTATGTTGAACAGTGGTTGTTTGACCACGACCACGAGCATTTCCAACAACATCATGCTGTTGCGGTTGTTGTTGTTGTTGCTGCTGTTGTTGTTGTTGATTATGTGATTGATGTGGTCGATAACGTTGTTGCCAAGCTGCTCGTTGTTGTGCCCATCGTTCACGAACAACTTCAGGATTTTCAACAAATTGTTGACGACGTTTATTCTTGAAAAATAAAAAATTAATCAATTAGAAGAAAGAAAAATATATTCTATACTTGATTTTGATTATCATCATCTTCTTCATCATCATCATCATGCTGTTGACGAAAACGTCCTGGTTGTTTTCCAAGTAATCTAAGGAACAAGAAAAAAACTTTTAATTTAGAAATAGAAATTTGATTAAATATCAAACCTATTTTCGTTCTTTGCTACTTCATTATCAATTGTATCATCTTTATCTCTAACATTTACAATTCCATCATCATATGTATCATCATATTCATCATCATATTCTCCATCAGTTAGATCTGCAACAATTCCTAAACGAGAATAACGTTCATCCATGCCTTCTAAATGTGATTTATCATCAAGAATTGATAAAGTATCTCGTGTTCTACAAAAAATAAAATTATATATATAAACATTATTATTATATAAAATATATATATATAGACTTTTTTCCTTGATGTATTTTTGAAAGATCAACATTTGCTCGATTATAGAAATCAAATTCATCATTATCGTATACATTCAAACGTTGTCCAACAAGAGAAAGATTTTGATTGAACAATGATTGATCATAATCATCATTAATATTTGTTGTAAATTCTGGTATTATTGATGGTTTATATGATGTTTCAGTTTTGAGATGTTCTGGAACAGTATTATCAAAAAGAGCATTGACAAGACGTTCAGTATTATTATCATAATGATCGAGACAAGTCTAAAATAAAAAATTCGTTAAGTATTTTTCTTTCTATAGATTTTATGATGAATTAATACATGATTAATAACATTCATCTTATATTTCTTATCTTAGCTATATTTATAA